TTACACCATACACAAAAACCAACTGAAAATGGGTTAACTACTTGAGCTTAAGACCTGAAACAGTAAAACTCCCAGAAGAAAACCTAGGAAGTAAACTCGTTGACATTAGTTTTGGCAATGATTTTTTTTTTTTTAATTTTACACCAAAGGCAAAAATAAACATGGGACTACATCAAAGTTAAAAGCTTCTGACAGCAAGGGAGACCAATTGAAAGGCAATCCATGAAATGGGAGGAATTATTTGCAATTCATGTTGTGATAAGGGGCCAGTATCCCAAATATACAGAGGAATCCTACAACTCAGTATCAAAAGAAATCTGATTAATCAATGGACAGAAGATCTGAATAGAATTTTCCCAAAGCCATCTAGGTGGCCAAACAGGTAGAGGCATGCCTTGTTTTACCATACTTTGCTTTATTGCACTTTACAGATACTGCAGTTTTTTGTTTTTTGTTTTTTGTTTTTTTCAAATTGAAGGTTTGTGGCAACCCTGAATTAAGCAATTGTACTTGTGTCATTTTTTTTCAACAGCATTTGCTCACTTTTGTCTTTCTGTCACATTTTGGTAGTTTTCACAATACTTCAAACTTTTTCGCTATAATTGTATTTGTTAAGGTGATCTGTGATCTTTTATATTACCATTGTAAGTGCTTTGGGGCACCATAAAACACACCCATCTAAGACAACAAACTTAATTTGTGTGTTCTGAATGCTCTACAGACCAGCCATTTCCCCATCCCTTTTTCTCTCCTTGGGCCTTCCTATTCTCTGAGATGAAATGATAATTGAAATTAGGCCATTAAATAACCCTGCAGTGGCCTCTAAGTGTTCAAGTGAAAGGCAGAGTCACATGTCTCTCACCTTAAGTCAAAAGGTAGACATGATTCCGCTTAGTGAGGAAGGCATTTCAAAGGCCAACATAGGCTGAAAGCTAGGCCCCTTGCACCAAACATTTGGTCAAGGTGTGAATGCAAAGGGGAAGTCTTGAAGGAAATTAAAAGTGCTATTCCAGTGAGTACGCAAATGATAAGAAAGTCAAACAGCCTTACAGCTGACATGGAAAAAGTGTTAGTGGTCTGGATAGGAGATCAAACCAGCCACAACATTGCCTAAGCCAAAGCCTAATCCACAGCAAGGCCCTAACTCTCTCCATTTCTGTGAAAGCTGAGAGAGGTGAGGAAGCTGCAAAAGGAAAGTTTGAAGCCGGCAGAGGTTGGTTCATGAGATTAAAGCAGAGAAGCCAGCTGCAGAACAGAACAGTAGAAGGTGAAGCAGCAAGTTATCCAGATCTACTGAGGTGACCCATGACAGTGGCTACACTAGGCTACAGGTTTCTTTTTTTTAATTTTTTAATTTCCATTAATTACCGTATCATTATATTACTAGTTTCAGAGGTAGAGTTAAGTGATTCATCAGTTGCATATAATAACCGGTGCTCATTATATCACGTGCCCTCCTTAATGCCCATCACCCCGTTACCTTATCCCTCCACCCACCTCCCCTCCAGCAACCTCTTAACTGTAGGAAACAAACAGGGTTGCAGCAGGTTTTCAATGAATCAGCTATGATTCATCAATGAATCATCTCTAGCTATGAAAGAACTAGATGACACCTTTTTGCAATGAACGAGCCTTCCATTGCAAAAAGGTGTCATCTAGTTCTTTCATAGCTAGAGATGAGAAGTCACTACCCATCTTCAAAGGATAGACTATCTCTCTTGTTTGGGGCTAATGAGCTGGTGACTTTAAGTTGAAGTCAATGCTCATTGACCATTCTGAAAATCCCAGGGATTTTCAGTCTACTCTGCCTGTGCTCTATCAATGGAACAACAAAGCTTGGATGACAGCACATTACAACATGGTTTAGTGAACATTTGAAGCCTACTCTTGAGACCTACTACTGAGGGGGGCAGAAATTCCTTTCAAAATGTGACTGCTTATGGAGACTACACCTGGTTGATTCCAACCATCATGAATAACTGTGAGGGGTTCAAAACTGCAGTAGAGGAAGTAGCTGCAGATGGGGTGGAAATGGCAGGAGAACTAGAATTACAAGTGGAGCCTGAAGATGTGACTGACTCACTGCAATCTCACAATAAAACTTGAATGGATGAAGAGTTGCTTCTTCTGGAAGAGCAAAGAAAGTGGTTTCTGGAGATAGAATCTACTCCTGGTGAAGAAGCTGCGGATATTGTTGAAATGACAACAGAGGAGTTAAGATATTACCTAAACTTAGTCGATCAAGCAGTGACAGGGTTTGAGAGGATTGACAGATTGTTCTGAGAGTCAGTCAATGCAGCAAACTCATTGTCGTCTTACTTCAAGAGATGGCCACGGCCACCCTATCTGCAGCAACCACCACCCTGACCAGTCAGCAGCCATCAACAATCGAGGCCAGACCCTCAAACAAGAAAAAAAAGAAGAAAAAAAAAAAGACTCACTGAAAACCCAGATGATGGCTAGCATTTGTTATCACTACAGTATTTTTTAAATTATATACTTTTTTAGACATAATGCTATTATACACTTAAGAGACAAGAGTATAGTATAAACGTAACTCTCATATGCACTGGGAAACCAAAACATTATTTTGACTTGCTTTATTGAGATATTCCCTTTATTGAATTATCTGCAACTGGAACTGAACCTGCAGTATATCCAAGGTATGTCTGTACATGAAGGAGGTTCAACATCCCTTAGCAGAGACATGCACATCAAAACTGCAAGGAGATATCACTTCACACCTTCTAGAATAGCTATTATCAAAAAGACAAGAGATAACCATTGCTGGCAAGGATGGGGAGAAAGGGAATCCTCTTGTGTTAATGGTGGAAATGTTAATTGGTACAACCACTATGAAAAACTGGTATGGGGGTTCCTCAAAAATTAAAAATACAACTACTGTATGAATTGGCAATTGTAGGTATTCATTTGAAGAAAATGAAAACACTAGAAAAGATATATGCACCCCTATGTTCATTGTAGCATTTTTTTTCAATAGCCAAAATATAGAAACAACCTAAGTGTCCGTCAACAGAGGAATGGGTAAAGTAGAAGTGGTATGTAGATAGATAGAAAGACTCCCAGCCATTTTTGACAACAGTGTTGGACCCTGAGGGCATTATGCTACATGAAACAAGCAAGACGAAGACAAATAGTGCATGACATCACTTATATATGGATTCTAATTTTTAAAAAGAATCAAACTCAAAGAAGCCAAGAGCAGAAAAGGAGTTGTCAGTAGCTAGCGGAGAGGTAGGGAGAGGTTGGCAAAAGGATACAAACTTTCAGCTATAATATGAGTAGTCTGGGGATCTAATAAAATCTGATTATATTTGATTATACTGTAGAACTGAAATCTGCCAAGAGAGTAAAACTTAAATATCCTCACCAATGGGGGGAAAATGATAAATATGTGGATAATGAACATGTTAATTATTGTGGGTGGGGTAACCTTTCACAACGTCTATCAAATCACCTAAATATATACTTTAAATATCTTACAATTTTGTCTATTAAAACTAAAAGAATTTTTAAAGCAAAATGAAAGAACACAAGCAAAAATCATTTCATATTAAATAGGATAAAATTATGAGTTATTAACAAATAAATGGAATTGAAAGCTATAGGACTAGATTAGATTAGAAAGTATAAATAAAAAGAGAGAAGTAACTTCTGGAAGTCTGTCATGTAGAGAGCAAGAAGAGAAGCAGGTTGAGGTAAAGTGAGTAAGATGAACCCAAAACAAGTTTGGAGGAAACCAGATGTGTTGGGCAAATATAAATGGGAAGATATTTTAAGGGGAGAATGTTGTACATTACCAAATGCTCCTGAAAAGTAAAATAAGATGAGGACCAAGAATGGATCATCATTTGATGCTACTCTTTAGATTTAGGAACTAGCTTTTGAAAAATAAACTTTTTCTTAATAGATTCTTTTGTTTCTTTCAGACTTCTCTTTAACAGAAGTGCTCTGCCTCAAAAATGCAGCTCAAGAAAGAAATTTTATTTATTTACTGGGTGGCAGGCACTGTATTAAACCCTGGTGAGGAAAACAAGCCAACGTTCTCTTCTCTGCAAGCTCAGAGTCTTTGGAAAATCATTCTGAACATTTTATTTACTTACATAACCTATTATTTTGATTATTGGACGATGAACCTTGGCATAGTGAATATTTTAAAAAGCCTCATATCTACGTCTACTTATTTTCCGAAACATCTTTAATGAAATTCAGTAATTGAAAGAAATCAAAGGTTGTAGAAAATGTTACAAAACACAGAACCTAGGAATAAAAGATAAAGGATAATTTTGCATTTAAAGGAACTTAATGAGCTACCATGAGACAATGGAGGGTCCAAATAGGTATATCAGTTGCTTATATTTCATGGTTCTGTATATCAAACAAATGTCTCTAATTGCTTAGCTTTCTATTTTGAATATGTTTTTAGAGTGACTTTTCATGTATGATTCAAATACATTATTCTTTCTTTTACTTTTGGTGAAGGTCCAGATGCTACATGTGCAGCGTGGTGTGTTCACCTTTGACTAGATATAAAGGATATGGAAAAGAGAGATCATTTCTCACATTGATTTTACCAGTACCAAACTTTGCCTTATTGAGCATAATTCTTGGGAATTATAAAACCTAAATTTTACATTTACTCCTTATTTCTATAAATATGTAGGAATATCTGGTACTGTGAAAGTTTTTTTATTCAGCAACTGGTATATTAGTCAAAACAGCATTTATTATTCAAGTATTTTCTTCCTTAACCGTCAGAATCTGCAACTCAAAATTTAAAGCATTCTTGAAATGGTACTAGGGAAATCACTTTATTCAAAATTGCTGAACTCTAAAATCTAGGGTAATGTAATTTATTTGGATTCCAATTAAAAGCATTTTATCAGGTGAGTTCAGAAGTGGACTAAACATGGGTGCTCTGAAAGATGGCTTACTAAGTATTTCTTCAGGATTTTTCTTTCTCCTTTTCTTACCAACAGGAGGATTATACCGACTGTGGTGGTGTTTCTGGATTGAATCCCTCCCTGTGGTCCATCATCGGAGTCCAGTTTGTACTACTTTGGCTTTTATCTGGCAGCAGACACTGCCAATTATGACCTTCTAAAACTCAATCTGCGTAATTAAACTCCAGACCCTGCCAAAACATGAGGCCTCAGTTGCGTTAAGATAGGGTCAACTGTGGAATGAGCTGAACATTAGCTGGGACCATACCATGGCTAAATCTAAGGCGCAGACGCATATGGCCCCCACTGGCTGCATGTCAGGGTCTCAGATCCTTAAACTTGTGTGAATGCTGCATCATCTATGTATAACATCAAAGCAAAATTCTATACATGCTCTATTGGAAAATTGGAGTTTGTTGTTTGCGTTGTTGGTGATTATATGTAAAAGGGCTCCCCACACTGTTTATGAATCATACAAATTGTCTTGACCTTGACCTGGAATTTTGACTTGCTGCAATTCTTGTTCTTTTACCAAGAAAATCTCTAGAGGAAAAAAAAATGAGTTATTTTTGCCTTCATGTATTCTTCTGTTAAAAATTATTTCCTGCTTTGAGTAGTTATTATTGAAAAACAAAATAGAGAGAAAGAGATTGATGTAATCTGTTGAAATAGAAATAATGGCTAACTTTCTATGGAAAGAAATTTGCCATAAATAAAATGCCTTATGAAGAATGGCTTCTCTGCCAAAATAGGAACACAAATGACGACCAATTAAGTTTTGCTGGGGTAATGAATCGGTGTTTGAAAACAATAACTAAGAAACTATTAAACTAAAGGTGCTTGAAGATGCAATTTGAACATCTGACATGTTTCCTCATAAATGTAAGCCCTGAATCAGTGCTTCGATGTAATGTTTCTTTTTGTTCACAGTAAAGTTATGTAGTGCTAGCCAGATATTTCAAAATGCTCTTAAGAGAAGCTTGTTGGGGGGGAGGGGAAAACGTTTTTTCTTGTGATAAATGAACTTTGGTTACCAAGGGTATTTTGCATGATGCTGCCGCTATTTTAACTTTCGGTTTGTTTTTCTCTTACTGTAGAGTATAGTCCTTTGAAAAGTTAACCGAGTGACATTATTGTTATGTAAGACTCTGAACCTTGCAGTGTAATGCACCTAAGTCACCCTTAAAAATGTCGTTTAATTACTCTGAATATACTGTGCAATGTCAATGCCGAATGACTGGCGTAGGTAAATGGTGAAATGGGCTAACGGATTTTATACAGACTCGTGCTTTTGCCTGAAAACCTATGTACAGATATTGTAAGTACATAAATCAGATTTGACACATTTATTTTTTGAAGAGTCCATATACGTTCTCGATGAAGATTCACACTAGGTTTCCTCTTTGTTCGTTTGAATAGTAGCACATACACTCCAGACGTTTCTGCTGCTGCTGCTTTTCTCCCTCCATTGTAAAGGGTATATGATCACTTGACCAAAATTTCCATGCAGTTTGACGAGGGTTTTATAATAATCTGAACAAATAGGAAACCTTGAATCTGTATGTATGCACATGAACACTTGATTGTGAATAATCAGAATTGTTTTTATACAGCCTCATTGGTGAAAATGATTAGTGTAGTAAATGGGATATTTCATTATAGACTAATATGCTAGATTATTATTTATGCTTTTAAAAATAATTTGCAGGAGTCAACAGTGTTTGAAGAAAGGGTAAAAACTATGGATGTGTAATTCTAGTTCAAGTGAGTAATTCTGCCGAAGGCTGGAAGTATACAGATATTTTTTATGGCGAAATGCCTTTTTATTTTGAACATACCAAGTATTGGTGTGTGTATATGCTGGACATTTTCTTATACATCCTTTTTAAGTCAATATCTTGCTAACATTATCCAGCATGCTTTATTATGCTCCGCATATCAAAGACGTAACCACGTCTTTGGCGTAGTTTAAAAGACATTTGTTTTGTTTTCAGCTTTGCACACATTTGTAACTCCCTCCCACCACCCATATGCCCTAGGAACCATTTGTGTATATTTCCTTATTTAAACTATTTTTTATTTAAAAACGGGGGTGGGTGGGAGTGGAATCATTTTGCCAGCTATTGTGCTAAGAGTTGACATCAGTTACCATTTCTAACACATTGTTGTGATTTTGTAGTCTCATTTGTACCTGGTATTGACATTTTAGAAAACACCAAAGTGATTAAATATATATATATATATATATACACACACACACACACACAGAACTTCTCACTCTAGTGACACTATGTTTAAATCATGTTGTTTGTTGATTACATATTTAAACCTTACTGTTACCTTTTGCTAGACTATTTTAAATCATGAGAGTGTTGGGAAGGGGAAATCAAAATATAAAATTATGTTAGTTCGTGTGTATATATGACGCACATTAAAACAACTGAATTGCTTCCAGCATACAACAAACTACCTTAAAATTATCTTTAAAATCTATTAAATATATTTTTGTGGCTAATGTCACTGAAATAGTATGTTTTCATCAACTATGTTACTGTTGCATTAATCACAGTTAAACTCGGCGTCTCTTGGCAGGGTCCTGTTGATTCCATTTGCCATCAAAATATATTTACATGCACGAGTCTTGCTATGATCCTTGATTTTCTGTTATAAAATAAACCTATACTATGAGAACCATGTACTTGGTAATAAATTGGGTAAGAACGTGCTTTCTGACTAAAAATTGTTCTCCTGCCTAATACTAGTCTTCATACTCTTAGCATTTTTTCAAAGACAGTAACATTCATTCCCATCAAATTGTTGAGTTTAATTTAGGATTTTTCTGTGAGTTCTAATTCTTGACAAGACCTGAAATTATAGCCTGTTATAAATATTGATTTTCAAAGACTAAGCGATCGAGAGAAAAAAGCTTTTAAATGCTTTGGCTTCTTTCATTTTTGCTCTACTCATCCAGTTTAATGTAGTTTGTCACCAAAACGAAATCAAAGTAAGTCTTACATTGGTGTTGAGTAACAGGAATGACTTTTACATTAATGATTTCTTTACATTTTCTTCATTTGAACAACCAGCATTACTGCCAAACACCAATCGTGGTCCATATTTGTAACAGGTTTTTAACATGACATAGTTAGCAAGTTTGATTGAAGAGATTTTTAGGTCCTGGGCCTATAAGATTTTAGTATGATCTTTTTTCATGTTTCTAATGCTTGAGGCATTATTGCTTTACTTGGGAAAAAAAGAACACAAAACAAAACAGTGTTGCTGCCATTTGTAAGTTTTCCTAGGATATTCCTTTTATTAACTTTAAAACTGGCCTTACTGGGTTCAAATAGGCAGTATCCCTTTTAAGTGACCTTTGCAACCCAAGTGTTACTTGCTTATTTGATGCTCTCTTCTATTTTAAGTCTTATTTAAATCTTTCTCTCCACCAAAGCTTAAATTCTATGTCTTAATTTAAAACTCTGAACGATTCCATTAATCGTCAGTTAACATTAAAATATCTAGAGGTAGACAGTTTGACCTTGTGAAACAAAGTGAGCGCTGTGATTTTTTCAAGTGTAGAATAGAACGATGATTTCACTTGCCCCCAACTTAAAATATTTTATTACTATGTAGAACTTGTGTTGTCCCATTAGCAGAATGTTAATATTGCTAATATTCCATGTATATTTCTGTAAAGAGCAAATCAGTACAACAGATGTATCAAGTGTTGAATAAATTCCAGAATTTCAAAGGCTCAGACAACCCTTAGCAAGAGTTTCCTCTACCTTATTTCTAGTTCATGTAATTAACTCAAAGAAATTCCACTGAGACTAATGGGATACTGTCTTGTATAGATGCCAGTTGAGTTTACAGTGTGACCTGACAAAGCTGTCTTTTTTGTTGTGCCGTATGATTGTTGGATCATGCTTTTTAGGGATACTTTTATTGAAATGCTCAGTGTGCATCCATGCAAAAGGCCAATTGGCTTTGTGAACAAAAGATCTTTTCTCCCCTTTATTATGTTCTCTTGACACTTTTGTGGAAATTAACTAGCCTGATAAAAGAAGTTTTGTAAAAATTTGTATAATACTGTTATAAAAATATTTATAATCCCAGAAAATGTTGTGTTAAATCTTGTGCAAAAACAGTATATTCAGAATAAAAGTTTATCATTTAAAGTCACCAGTTTGGATTATTTAATTGCATAAAATCCAGTTGAAAGAGACAGAAGTTATTGTCATAAATATCTTTTACTCAATCCTTCCTGTGGAGACCGTCATTCAAGGTAGTGAAATAAAACTTGGGATTAGGAAAGTGCTTTTGCGATTACAACCCTCAACTCACAAACAAATGCGCTTGCAACTCCTTTTCTAGTCTCACCCTTTGCATATGGTTTTTGCCGTCAAGGCATTTAGGAAGTTACTAATTCAGACTTTGGGCTTCTGTTAAAAAAAAAAAAAAAAATCCCCAGCAGAAATAATGTTTCCACGTTCCTTTAAAACCTTGGGAAAATAGTTTGAAAGAGACAAAGTTAGAATATTTAAAATGTTAGTGTATATCTTTTATACATCTGACTTTTTAAATATTTCTCCTAGCTACATTATAGCAATCAGCAGCTGAAAAAGGGAGGTCTAGTGTAAAGAATTAAGGTGGGGGCAGGGGGAAACCTGTTAGCTTTCTTTTACATTTATATCAGCTTGTAATCTGCCCTCCTATGCTCACCCAATAAATACATTAATGAGCCTGATACTGTGTGGAATCTAGTGTAATGTAGGCCTGCTTTTCTTTCTGGAGACTCTCCTAAGAGAACACAAATTGCTACACATGGGAGGAAGGCATTATGTCGGAGGAAGGCACCACCGATGGTGATTACTGGAAGAGCCGACCTCCAGTTTCTGATCAAGGCATTTTAACAGGAGAAAGCCTACATAAAAGTGTAAGGTGGATAACATTTGTTTTTTAAAACATCTGGCTTCATTTTGTACCAATTTATCTCCTCAATCAATCCTTTCACTCCCCAGACACCCTCATTTCCTCTATCAATCATCTTGAACCCATCTCCACCTCTTCCCTTGGGACCTTGCTTCATCAATTCTCCGTCCTCAAGCGTATTCCGTCTCCCCTTTCTGCAGGCTTACTTCTTTCTGCCTTGC